GCATCGTGGTTCATCCGATGAGATAATCGAGGAGCATGTGGGAGCCAACATGGGTATCCAGATCCCATTGTTGGTTATTGACTGGAGAGTCGTCTCGGTCATGTCTGCATGTCTCCCGAACCCGTAGGGTCTACACACTTAAGGTTCGGTGACGCTAGGGTTGTTGAGATATTAGTATGCGGTAAACCGAAAGTTGTTCGGAGCCTCGAATGAGATTCCAGATGTCACGAGGAGTTTCGGAATGGTCCGGAGGTGAAGATTTATATATAGGAAGCCAAGTTTCGGCCATCAGAAAAGTTTCGGGGGTAATCGGTATTGTACCGGGACCACCGGAAGGGTCCCGGGGGTCCACCGGGTGGGGCCACCTATCCCGGAGGGCCCCATGGGCTGAAGTGGGAGGGGAACCAGCCCCTAGTGGGCTGGTGCGCCCCCCTTGGGCCTCCCCCTGCGCCTAGGGTTGGAAACCCTAGGGGTGGGGGGCGCCCCACTTGGCTTGGGGGGAAAGCCACCCCCTTGGCCGCCGCCCCCCTTGGAGATCCCATCTCCTAGGGCCGGCGCCCCCTAGGGGTCCTATATATAGTGGGGGGAGGGAGGGCAGCCGCACCCTAGCCCCTGGCGCCTCCCTCTCCCTCCCGTGACACCTCTCCCTCTCGCTAAGCTTAGCGAAGCCCTGCCGAGATCACCGTTGCTTCCACCACCACGCCGTCGTGCTGCTGGATCTCCATCAACCTCTTCCTCCCCCTTGCTGGATCAAGTTGGAGGAGACGTCTTCCCAACCATACGTGTGTTGAACGCGGAGGTGTCGTCCGTTCGGCGCTAGGTCATCGGTGATTTGGATCACGACGAGTACGACTCCATCAACCCCGTTCTCTTGAACGCTTCCGCTCGCGATCTACAAGGGTATGTAGATGCACTCCCCTCTCCCTCGTTGCTAGATGACTCCATAGATTGATCTTGGTGATGCGTAGAAAATTTTAAAATTCTGCTACGTTCCCCAACAATTAAGTGGGTGGTGGGTGGGACGCAAAATTCCCCGCTCTCAGCCCCTGGTCGGGCTGGGCGTAGTTCAGAGGTGATAATTCCGTAATGGCGAGAGATCGCATTAAATCCAGGGCCTCATTCAGGAGCGAAGGCTGGACAGGTGACCAAGGACCTGCGGAACTAGGCATGGTAAACGCCACCTGACTATGCTCAATGGACGCAGGCCTCGAGGGGTTGGAGTTAGCATCCAGAGGTGAGTTCGGCCTCCCGATGACAGGGGGAGTCCTGTTTGGTTCCTGCCTACCGGTAATATAGTCACCTCTGGGTCTCCGGCAGGGAGCTCCATGGTTGGAGAGGGTCTGGCGGGGCTCATGCTCCCATCTTCGGATAGGGTGGTCCGCTCTGGATCTGAGGCTAGGGAAGGAACGACAGTTGGTTCTTGAACGGAGCCTGATGGTGGATCCGACAGGTTTCCCCCTTGTAGATGAGGAACAGCGGTCGGGGCCGAGAATCCTTCAAAGATCAAGTCTCCTCGGATATCAGCGATGTAATTTAGGCTTCCGAACCTGATCTGATAATCAAGGGCGTAGCTATCGATCTGTTCAAGGTGACCAGCTGAATTGGCACGCAGAGCGAAGCCGCCAAACACAAAAAGTTGACCAGGAAGGAAAGTTTCCCCGGAAGCAGCATCGTTGTTGATGATTGAACGAACCATCGAACCTTCTACCGATGACACAGTGGACCTCTCAATGAAAGCACCAATGTCGGTGTCAAAACCGACCGATCTCAGGTAGGGGGTACCGAACTATGCGTCTGAGGATCGAAGGTAACAAGGGACAGGGGGAACACGATGTTTACCCAGGTTCGGGCCCTCTTAATGGAGGTAAAACCCTACGTCCTGCTTGATTGTATTTGATAAGTATAGGGGTTACAAGAGTTGATCTACCTCGAGATCGTAATGGCTAAACCCTAGCTGTCTAGCCTCTATGGATTCTGATAGCCTCTATGGACTAAACCCTCCGGTTTATATACACACTGGAGGGGCCTAGAGTTGTACACAATCGGTTTACAGAGGAAGGAAATTACATATTCAGACAACAATCTTGCCATCCATGCATAGGAGAGTCCTACCCGAACACGGGGGAAGGCCTTCTGCCTTATATCTTCATGGTCCAACAGTCCGACCCATGTCACATAGCCCGGACACACGAGAACCCCCTAATCCAGGACTCCCTCACTCGTCATCTTCACCCTCCGAATCCTCCCCCAGCGCCCAGTAACGGCCGCCACACCCATGGCCAGGACCCACGTCACTGGCATGTCCTCCCCGCTCGCCCCACCCGGCGTGCCGGCCGCCGGTGTCTCCCTTCCGGCGGCGGCACACAGGATGAGGGGCGAGGCGAGCGCGTCGGGAGAGCTTCTCTCTCCAACAGTCATTTCTTCCTCCTTCATCAATTTGTGACATACAAAATCCAAACCAAGCAAATTTATCTAGTATTACTTAGTCTAATCCAATGTATATTTTACTATCTGCAATACTTTGAGGCAATGCCTCTTCTTTCGTTTCAACGACGTATGATTATGATAATATCTTTGTAGATTGTGTCTTAGTTAATAAATTGATGAAATATCAATAATTGTACTCCATTTACCTGAGGACGAAATTAGCAATATTTATTCTCTTAGATGCACAAACATGTATAGTTAGCACTATTTTTCTCTTAAATGTACAAACATAAATAATACTATTAAATATAGGCTTACACGAATCTTGTAGCAACCCGTATTTTGTGTAATTCAAAGAGAAAGAAAATAGGATCGTGATAAGTGTCACACATGTGGCACAAACACACGACAACTTTCAACGATTTTATGGCAAGTTTAGTGTCGCGATGATGACAACTTTAGTTGTCAAGCATGACAACTTCTTTTTGGATGATAAATTTCAGTTTTTTCTTTTCAAATAACAACTTTAGTTGTAAAAAATGCCAGGATCAGAGTGCTTCGTGCCACACATATGCCATTTATCATTTGAGAGAAAATACAGTTGACGCAAGCAGCAGTACCGGACGATAGCCTACATGAATCTTGTAGCAACTGCTACAAAGCCGAACCGCGACACTTCATTGGTGACATTATTTGAAACACTTGCTATGAGTGGTAGAAGACGGGGAACAATAGTTTTAAGAGAATTACCCCCGACTTAGCTCGAGTCCAGGTGGCACTATAGATCTGGCTGCCGTCTTGTGGGTTGTGACGCTGATCCACAACTCTTGTAACTTGTGACTACTCTCTATCTTAATATATCGGCATATAGATCTCCTGCGTGTCAATCATAATATGTGTCATTTAAGTAGAAACACAAATTAGGGCGTACAAGATTTATTTAACCCGTTGCGATGCACTGGCTTTTTTATTAGTTTAGTGTAAAACAATGACAAAGAAAATAACACTTGTCCTAAGCTGTACCGGACGGTAGGCTAGCAAAAGTGACGATGCGTGGATGAACCCTAGCAGAGAAATCTGCAGACGCAAAGTCCAACCCGGCCCATCACTTCCCGTCACCGGCACACCACAGCGCCGCACATCATCGCCTCCCACTCCCCACCGCTGCACGCACACACGCTCCCCACCCCACCCCCACCCCGTCGTCCTCCCTCCTATTTAGCTTCCTCATTTCCGTTTCCCACACCCCTCCCTCACCCAAAAACGCACGCCTCCGATCCCCACGCCGAGACGGCAGCCTTAGACCTAGCCACCACAGCCACCGTCGGACAGTGACCTCCGCGGACTCCGCAGGCACGGGGATAAGGTAGGTCCGGCACGCCCCCGATCACCGCGGCCGCGATGCTTTTGCTGCCCGACGTCTACCGTAGAGTTGCCTGTGCCGCGATTTAGCCTCGCCTCAGCGCGGGGAGCTCGATCGGGCCCGTGGTGGTAGCTCAGGCCGCCAACGCGGTGCCCGTTCCGGCGTTTTAGGATTGGAATGCCGTGAAATTCGGCGCGTTCGCGGCGGGGTCGCTCGGGGTTCGGGGGATCTCGACGTGCTGGGAGTTCGCCGGATCTCCCGAGGATGCTTACGTGGTCGTTTATGGGTAGATGATTGCTTGGTTTGTTCTCTGATGGTGATCGGATCTTCGGTTTTGCTTTCTCGTGGCTTGTGCTGTGCTTAGATCCTTGGATAAGGAGGCGAAGTAGAACGATTTTGATGCATTGACGCTATTGTGTTGCAATCGGATGGGTGATTTGGCGATTAGGGGATGATACCACAAGCTTCTAGTGCTGTGATTCTTTTGCCGATTGCATATATACCGAAATGGGTTTTGTATGAATAATTTGCATAGCAAATGCAGCATGCATTTCCAGTTCAAAGTACTTGTCAACTTGTCATCTCATCGTGCTGTTCAATACCCGTGATCTGGTATTTGTGTTTGTTTGTGCTCTGTAAAATAGAACGGCTTACAGATGCATCATTTAGTTAATTTGTAAGGTCGCCACTCTGCCATTATGTTTTGCTGTACCCCTGGGTGTTTGTGTTAGACAGCACTTGTGCACTATAGAAAATCCAACAGAAACTTCTTGGTAGATGATTATTTGTCATTGTGCTTCTTTAGCCATCACTGAGTCTTGCATTTCCATCCGTGCAGATCACTCAACCCTGGGCTGATTGTGGCTGGTATTGGCGATTTAAGTGTTTGTTAGGTGTTTTCTCTTGTGTCTTGTGTCTTAATCTTTGATTAAGCTTCACTGAAAAGACTGTACCTGAGAAACTCTGTTGTTGGAACATTTATCTTGTAATATGAATGTATTTTGACAATCCTTCTTCATGTGCTAGAATCATATATTTCAGCTTCAGAGCTTTTATGGTACTTTTTAAGTTCCCTACTGAAGCGAATACCTAATGCATTAACTTTAAGTTTGTGATGACCATTCATGCAAATTCGTGGATATTAATTCAGAACCTGGTGGCATATTAATCCTGGATACTTGATCAAAAGGAAAATTGGAGCTCCTTGTTCATGTCTTCAATGGAGAGCCTAGCACAGTTAGAGGTGTTGTGCGAAAAGCTTTACAACTCTAGAGACTCGGCTGAGAGAGCACATGCAGAAAGTACGCTCAAGTGCTTCTCAGAGAACAGTGACTACATTTCGCAGTGCCAATATATATTGGACAATGCGTCAACTCCATATGCCTTGATGTTGGCCAGTACAAGCTTGGTGAAGCAAGTCTCAGACCGCAGTCTTTCTCTGCAATTGCGCCTTGATATCCGTAATGTTTCTTTTCCGACAACATAGCATGATATTGCATGTCATTGAGTTTTGATTCTTTCAACTGTTGCATCTGCATGTCATGTTGGATTTATGTCTCTTTCTATATGTTCACATTCATGTACAAGTTGCGTGTTGTACTTGTCATGTTGAGTATAAGTTACCAAATGTCATGTACAAGGTAGTTGGGCATTTACAAATGTTAAGTATAAGTTACCAAATGTCATTGAGTCCTTACTTAAACCATAATGGTTTTGTTGTTTCCTTGATTCACAGCTTATTTTATTTGTCCTTAAAAGCATTTATGTTTATTACAAAGGTGAAATGATAATTTACGTACTCTATGCTTACCTTTTTTTTGTGCTTCTGTAGCATACCTGGAAGGGATAAGTATTTATGTTCATTTTATCTCAATTTTTATGTTTATGCATTTTAGCCGAAATAGATAACTTATTTATCTATATCCTCCCTAACACACTTGTGCTCTGCGCCATCTTTTTGTTGCTAATTAAAGACTAATCTAGTTGTAATCTGTGTGAAGGGAATTATGTCATGAACTACCTTGCGGCAAGAGGACCTAAATTGCAGAACTTTGTGACTATTTCCCTAATTCAGCTTGCATGTCGGATAACAAAATTTGGATGGTTTGATGATGACAGATTCAGAGAGATTTTTAAAGAAGCAACAGATTTCTTAGCTCTTGTAAGTATTTCTTGCGTTTTTTTGCATTCGTAATGGAGTTGCCTAATTTCCTATCATGTATGAAGTATGGACTCCATACCTGGGACAAGTATTGTTGCTTAAAGTAGAGTTGTGTCATGTTTTAAATAAGGACTCCATACTCATAGTTGACTGAAACCTTCTCCTCAGAACCAACCGTCAAAATATAACCAGCTGTGCCAGATACACATGCATCTGTGTGTGAAAATGTATGGATGTTATGACCATTGTTTATAAGGTGTCCTGCCTTGGATGCTTAGGTGACGCTTAGGTGGCAAGGTGCCCAGGCAACGCCTTGCAATTATGCCCGCTTTAGGCACTTAGGCATCGCTTAGGTTCAGGGCGGTTGGTGCTTGCCTTAGGTCGCCTTACCGCCTTATAAACAATGGTTATGACTCTCATTAGACGGAAAGACGGTATTTTGTAAGCAAAATATATAGTGCTTAATTCCTGATGGCTTTAAGAATTTAACTTCTTGGAGGTATTTAACAAATTTATTATGTTTGTTTTGCATCTCTTTGGTAAATCGAACTTGATTTTCTCAATGTACTATGAGGAGCAAGCACCAGCTTTCAAGTTTAACAGTGTTTCAGTTGATAATATTACTGATAACTGGTTTGGTTTGAGTTATTTGATCACATTTTTAATTGCTCCAAAATGCACTTTCTTGTGCTGTGTACTTGTAGTATAGTTATTTCCATTTTCAGATACAAAAAAGCAAAGAGGGTGACAAGTCAGTGTGATGAATTGTACTTTCGAAAGCACCTTTGGTTTTATAAAGCAGAAGTCTTGTTCATGCCAAAACCTGATTGCATGTCTTTAGCATGTAGCATAGTGCCAATTACAATCAACCTATTTATGGAAAGCAAATTGAAATGAAGCAGGTTTCCGCAATAAAATTTCACTTGGAACTTTTTTAAATCATGCCATGTCAAATGTTATCTGATTCAGTTTTCTAAATTTGTTGCTTATGCTTATGTCTTCAGGCATCTCAGGATCACTATTTAATAGGATTGAAGATACTAAATTTTCTCGTAATGGAAATGAACCAGGTGAGATCTGGAAAATTTTCTACTGTATATCTTGTTTCCATAAACGGTTTCTTCTCTATTCAATATAGTTAGGCATTTATATTAAACACTTAATACATTGGTTGACTTCCCAAAAAAGGTATTGACATTGTTCCTTCTATAACGCTGCACAATATTTTGTTGTCTAACGTTATTTGTCATGCACAGTTTTATTGACGTACATATCTAGCTTCCATGGGCATAGAACCACTAACACGTACATTCATCGGAAACTGCATGTGAGTTAATAGTGTATAAGTACTAGCGAACACGATGGACTTACGACTCACCATTGTTTATAAGGTGTTAAGCTGACCTAAAGCGCTCCCGCAAAAAAAGGCGACCTAAAGCTAGCACCACCTGCTCTGATGCCTAAGCGCCTAAAGCGGGCATATTTGTAAGGCGCTGCTAGGGCGCCTTATCGCCTAAGCGTCTAAGGCAGGATGCCTTGTAAACAATGTGGCTCACTACATTCATACTAAATAAGAAGTCATTATTGGCATGCAAAAAGAGCATGCAGTCCTAATGGTTAGAATATTACTCCCTCCGTAAAGAAATATAAGAGCGTTTAGATGACTAAAGTAGTGATCTAAACGCTCTTATATTAGTTTACGGAGGGAGTACTGTTTAATCCCACCAATATGAATAAGCGGGTGTATTTAATATTAATTAATAGGGATGGTTGGCTCATCGATGTTCAATCTCCATTTATATCTCCATGCTAATTTTAGAAACTACAAGTTTAAGTTTGAGATATACGGGGAAAGTGGATCCAATCATCCTGATTATTTCCCTCAGATTTGAGTGCTATCATTCAAAGTTGGTCTCTTCTCCAGACAGCCTGTATCTTGTACATATTCAGAGATTAATTACTGGTTTACATCTGTTGTATGCGTGCATGCTTTCTTATTTTTGGAATAAATTCTATAATTTACTCCATACCCTATATGGATTCCACGTGTGCACTAACTTTTTAGAAGGGATTTAGTATCAATCGTAATAGGTGCGGCCTCACTTAGTTGCTAGTGGGCGAACTCTGACAGTTTTACAACTGCTTGAAGCTGTTGCAGGTCATCTGTTAGTATGACCTGTCATCCAATCTTTTTTATGGCTCTCTTTTCCTTTTCCGCCTTTTGTTGTTACTTCTGAATAGATGATTGAAAGTTACTTTCAACTCCTCATAACGGGAGTTCCGTTTGCATAGAAGGTGGAACCAAGTGTCGTGCTCTTCATAACATGAATAAAGAATACACATAGCTTAAGAGTTGGGGTAGGCTAGAGTTGAAACCCATAAGATCTTGAAACCTAGTCATTGTTCTGGCACATGGATAGCTAACTTTCACGCATTCCTGTCCATGGCTAATTCTTTGGTGAAGCTTACTAGCTTAATGCAAAAGAAAAATATCCTAATTGCGTCTCCTACTAGTTTCAATCGAACATATTACTTCTTTGTGTTTCTGTAACCACTCTATGAATAGTTGGACCAATTAAAGTTATCGGTATGCAGTTAACTGTTCTATTCATATTGGAAACTACCTTCAGCTTTTGGTGTTTACTACTAGCATCATCGCTTCTGGTCATGATTTTTAGTTGTTATAGTTGACTTTTTTTTCCTTTTTTCATTGCTATTATAGTGTAATGCTCATTTCTTGTATCAATCATTTTCCTTTCTTAAGGCATACTGTATGAGGAAGTTGAATGTTTATTATCTTTTTTATGCATGTAGGCGAACTCTGCAATGCCTTTGACACTTCACAGAAAAATTGCAACTTCATTCAAGGATCAGTTTCTTCTGCAGATTTTCCAAATTTCTCTTACCTCATTACACCAACTGAAAAGTGAAGGTGATGTTTGAGGTGTTACGTGGGCATGATTTGTCATTCTATTAGACTTCATTAGAATACCTACTCTGATTTCATTTCTACCAACTAATACAGTTCTTCTTACATTACAGTACCGGATGAGCTAAGGCGTGTTCCTATTTCGCTTGCATTGAGGTGCTTGTCATTTGACTTTGTTGGTTCTCCAGTGGATGAGAGCTCTGAAGAGTTTGGAACAGTGCAGGTATATTGGTTGCTTAATTGTTAGCTTCCTATTAAACGGACACTTTTTTTTTGCCTTTTCTTGTAGTTTACGCATATTTATATCTTCATGCAGCTTCCTGCATCCTGGAGGCCTCTCCTTCAAGATCCTTCCACTGTTCAGATATTTTTTGATTACTACAAAGTCAATGATACATCTATTTCAAAAGAGGTACATTTTAAGTGTTTTGAATGCTGTGTGATCAGTAGTACATTCTGCAAATGTACCACCAGTGACCCACTGTTCCACATGCTTAAACGACCTTTTGATTGGCTGGTTATTGATATATTTATTATTGGTATGTTACTAGCTATTAGAACCTGCAAGTCATGAAATATTGATGTTTAATATTTTGATTGACTCCGATGTAGGAGCAGTATTTTCCTGGTGATATCTGAGTCTGAGAAGCATATTTTATCTTTGTTATATACATCGATTTTTCTTCTTCAAGAAATGCTTGCCTTATGTATGTGTGCATGGACCTTGTTTTCTACAGGCTTTGGAATCTCTTGTCAGACTTGCTTCTGTCAGGCGAAGTCTTTTTGTGGAAGACCCCGCCAGGTCCCAGTTTCTCTCACATCTGATGTCAGGCACCAGGGAGATACTCCAAACAGGCCAAGGTTTAGCACTTCTACATTTTGCTCGCAAGATTGTTAATAGTGCTGTTTTTCAGTTCAGAACAATAGTCTTGGATTGAAGTCCTTTAGTGAAGGGAACAAGCCTGTTATTCACCAGTTAAGAAGCATTTAAGTTGACTAGCTAATTACTACTCCCTCCGTTACGAATTACTTGTCGCAGGTATGGATGTATCTAGATGTATTTTAGTTCTAGATACATCCATTTCTGCGACGAGTAATTTGGAACGGAGGGAGTAGTTGCGTGAACCTAAAGTCTTGAGTTGAATTACAAGTCACTAGCAAAAGGGCCCGTGCGTTGCAACGGAGGAAAAAAAACTCAAACCTGCAACGGAGGAAAAAAACTCAAACCTTCAACTTAAAGGTATTTTTGTTATGAGCATGTATGTAAAGCCGATCATGTTATCATGACCGATGTCTTCGCATCTGCCAACCATGCCTATTTTTTATTTAGTACGACACCATTATCACTGTTGAAAACTTAGGAGATTCACACGGTTAGTCAAAAATGCAATACATAAAAAAGAACATACACAATGTGTGAAGGCCCGTCGGGGCACACTGTTTCTGAATAAAGGCAGCCGCGGCTTGGCCTCGTGCGGTCTCGAAATACAAATTTGGAATAACGTCTATAAGGACCGAGTCAACCAGACCTTTCCTTGGAACATGGAATTTTCTTATCCCCGATTCTTTACTTTTTTCATAAGTGCAACATGGCTGGGCATCTTAGGCTTCTCTTGCGTCAGTACCACATATGCTGAACTATAATGTTTGTTTCATATTATTTTTGCTGGTCATGTCATCATGCTTTAATTTGAAATGTGGTTGTTTAAAAACACTCACTTGAAATCTTATTAAATTTGCCAACCCAAAAGAAATTCAAACAAATAATTTGTATGGATCTTTGATCTAGGGAATTCACATGGTGGTTCTATTTATAACTCATGAACATAGCCTCCCAATAATATTAGGTGGCTAAAAACAAATCATTTCATTCATTGGGAGTTAACCATAACCCACTTTCAATTTAAACCTCTTAACTAAATAGTTGGAATTATATTTGTATAGCAGTGTAAATGTAAGTTCCACGTGGAATAATTTATTTGGAGTTGGTACAACCCAAAATAAAATAGTTTTTAAGTTCTTTTTTAGACAAAGTTATTAAGTTCTTATAAAACAGCATATACCTCACCGCTCTCTCTGTGTGTTTCTTTTTGGCCCAAGCAATGCATAGCAGCAATTTGCAGGCCCCTTTTCCTCAGCCCATCACCAGCGGCAGCCTCCCTGAACCTTATCCCGATCCCCAAATTCCTCTCGTATTTCTCGATCCGGTGTGCGCCGCCACACTCGCACACTCACAGAGGTGAGGTGCCTTGCACCCGATCCCCCACGCGGGCTCGCTGCACGGCCACCCGGCGACTGGCCCGGCCGCACACGCCGACGAACCCCGCCGGACCGCAGTTGGCCTCGCTCTTCCTCTCCTCCTCTCCCGCTGTGCATCGCGTCACCATGCCCGAGCTGCCGCCTCCGGCCATGGCAGCCATCGCTCAGCTGCGGCTCCCTCGCGCCCCCTTGTGCATCCGGTCGCCCCTTCTTCTCCTCTCGTCGCCCAACGCCTGGTTGCCCATGCCGCTCACCTCAACCACCTCTGATGCCCGCACTCACGCGCAAGGGCGCTCACCTCTCCACCGAGCGTCGGCCCTGCCGCACCGTCCGTCCTTATGAATTTTCCATCCAAATCTCGCGGAGGAGTCCTCATGGCCAGCGGCGCAAGGCGAGCAAGTGGAGCTGGTGCAAGGCAAGGAGGAGGCCCACGGCGACGGAGCTGCTCGTTATTGTGGTGGCCGGAGGTGCTGCACCAAAGGACGGGTGCAGCAGCACGCTGCCCGTGCGGAAGGAGGGGAGGCGCGAAAGGGCGACGCACGCCGGCGAGGGAAGGAGAGGAGGCGCAGACGCCATGGAAGGTGCGAGCTCGCGTCGCGTGCAAGCTGGGAGACGGCGCAAAGCAGCTGCGGGGGAGAGGAGGGCGATGCGAGGGACGTGGATACTGGATAGAGAAGAAGGAGCTGGCTGCGGCTGGAGTAGCGGCGCTCCGCGCGATGGCCAGTTTTTTTTCTTTTTACAAAACGAAACGTTCTGGATTGACTAAAACAGGGACTGCGGGTTAATAAAGAAAAAACATAAGGACTTTTTCGCAAAAAAGCCGCGACGGTGAACCCGAGAGACTCAACCCGTGCTTTATTATTAGGGAAAGATAGCTAAATTTATGTGCAAGGAGAAGCCAAACTTACCCATGCACCTGTGGAAAGAATTAAATAATTCTATGTAATTTATTTTGACTTACCATTAACAGGTCTCGCTGATCATGGAAATTACCATGAGTTCTGCCGTCTTCTGGGACGCTTTAAAGTGAATTACCAGGTTGTGATATTGCTACTTAAATTAAGAATAACCCTACTTTAATTCTTGTCTATTCTGTGACTAAAGATATGTTTATGTTTGTTTCTTTAAGTATTTAGTAGACTATAGACAAACTTATCCATTGCAGTAATGATAGTGGTGCAACAGTTGTGAAGTATGCATGTAGTTTTCCTACCCAAGTTCGCTCTCCTGGCATGTTGGATGCATGAGGTAGTACTATTTTGGTTTTGTAGCTTCTCCAAATCTTTTAGCTTTATCAATGACAAAAATCGGTCAACCAATTATGCTACACTTGAGTTCCATCATTCTGTGCTGTGACTGCTGATGTATTATTTGAAATGTTAGCCATAAACAAACATCACTGTACTTGATGGAACATTGTATTCATATCACGATCATTATTCTTGTCAATGTCTTAAGTGGTGACCTGTTGTGGTTTATGGCTCCCCCATGCATGATGTTTTTTTGGGGTTCATTTTTGTAAATAAACTTGTTGCTGGATAATGACATCTCTCAGTTTCGTATGGTTGTAGTTCTTGTTTTTCTCTTGCCAAATATACCATGTATTAGTGAGCTATATGACTTATTTCTGTTGTTATGTTCAAATTGCCATTTTACTTGTCTTCAAGCGAAAACATATTAATGTCGTTTTTCTATTCAAAGTTTGCCATGAATTGATTTGTTTAGTCAAAAATAGTGCAACTTAATCTGTGATTTGTAATTGAAGCAACATCCTATCAAACTGTATCATATTTATTCTGTGATACTCCCTAGTTGTTTATTTTTGTGAATCTAATTTATGTCATATTGGGAATACCTACATCCTGATGATTTGGTTTAAATTTGGTTGTTATCCATTTTCGGGTCAATTTATTAATTAGCTTACTTCATGGTTGTACTGGCATCCTTCAGGCTAGGAATGATTCAATTTTTTATTAAATGTTTTGAACATTTGATCTATTATACCTCACAGTTATCAGAGCTTCTGAATGTTGAGTTCTATGGTGAATGGCTTGGTCTCGTAGCAGAATTTACAACTAAATCATTGCTATCATGGCAGGTTTGTCTTTCTTCTTGCTCACTTAATCTTTGTTGATTATTGTCTGTTATGACTTTGGTATGTTACCGATTATTTATTTTGTAGTGGGCCAGTAATAGCGTCTACTATCTTTTAAGTCTCTGGTCAAGGCTGGTGACATCTGTGCCTTACTTGAAAGGCGATACACCGAGTCTGCTTGATGAAACTGTACCCAAAATTACAGAGGGTTTTATCACTTCTAGAATTAATTCTGTCCAGGTACCTTCTTCTGTGAGAGGTCAACTACTTTTTTATTTCAGTCTAAGAAGAAACTGTTTGCCATTTTTATTATTATGTCATTTCTGTTCATCACAGGCCAGCTTTGCGGATAACTCACCAGACCCAGATAATCCGTTAGAAAATGCGGAAAGTCTCCAGGATCAGCTGGAGAGTCTTCCTTATCTTTGTAGATTCAAGGTGCTGCTACATCATAAATTTTTCTTTCTGATTTAATATATTATATCTTTTGTATTCAAAACATTGATTTGACTCAGTAAACATGTACACATTCGTTAGTAGGATTTAGCCCCTATTCCAGTTTTTCAGTAAATGTGGTTAAGGGTTTGCATGTGTCAGTTTTGGATCGAGCATGTGATATGCACCTTTGTGCTCTGACTAGCATGTCCAGTAAGTTTATGTATTCAACTCAAGAGTTTCCGGGCTGCCAAAACTGTGCAATCTACACAAAGATAATGCAATAGATGACCATTCTGCTACTCATCTTCATTTGTTAAGATGCTGAGAAACTGTTTGCAACCTCAGAATATTCTTACATTGAGTGCTTTGTTTGAATTCAGAGTCTACACAAAGATAAGGCAGCAGACAAGCATTATAGTCTTCATCTTGTTGCATTTGTTAAGTTGTTGACGAAATTTTAGTGACCGCACATGATATTTTTGCTGAATCAACTGTGTTGTTCAACTCTGAGTTTTGGACTGACTGATGTAAAGGACTATATGTACTCTACACCCTGAGCTATTAGAGAAATCTGGCCAACTCATGTAAAACTATTTTTAATTACATTTCAGTATATGAGATCGTTGAGGTATAAAATTCATCCATAATTCTTTACCTGTACTATTTCTTACTATGAACCATGATACAATTTCTTCCTTACAGATTATAGCTGTATGCCCTTCAACTCGGTACGAGGGTTTGGTACTTTGATTAGGATTGTTCTACCGATTCCCATAATCATCATCCCCCTTTTCATCGATTCATTTTGATTTATATTTTTATAGAATGGTGGACGTATATATGAAGGCTTATAATTCCTTCAATTGAGATTTGGATGGAGTTGTTATGCATGTCCAGTCACCAGTCACCACTCACCACTGAGTGTTTATATCTGATTTCATTGTTTCCTAAACGCTATTGTGCCTTTTTAAATAAGGTTTTTGGCAAAACTTCTGCTACTTTTTTATCTATTTGCCTTCTATAGAATTACTTCAATCACAAGTGATTTCTTTGATAGTAGTATGCAGTGGTTAAATGATTGTTCTACCAATTCCTGTAATCGTCGACCCCCTTTTCATGGATTCATTTTGATATATATTTTCATGCATTCATGGATTGTTATACATGTGTTTATATCCAATTTCATTGTTTCCTAAACGTGATAAATATAAGTTTTTTTGTAGCAAAATGCGTGCTTCCTTTTATCTGTTTGCCTTCTATAGAATTACATCAATCACTGATTTCCTTGACATCAGGATGCAGTAGTTACATGAAACCCCTTAGGACACTGTTGTTTTTCCGGCCTGGCTTGTTCGCTGAGAGGCTTTGTGACCTCTTGTCGGCCTTCCCTTCTATATGTTGTTGTTTCTCCCAAGAAATTTATATGCAAGGCTTTGCATGTTCTGTAGAAAAAGGAAGTCCTTGTTTCTTTGGGATTTTTGGACTTGCTTAAGTTTTTTATATTGCATGCCCTGATAGTTACTTTCTTTTGATGAGTTTGCAGTATGAAAGCTGTAGCCTCTTCATCATTAATATCATGGAGCCTCTTCTACAAGCTTATACGGTATGTCAGTCTTGTTTATCATTTTTCTTTTCCCAGAAGAGATTCAAAGTAAAATATTTGTACAGGCAAGGTCAAGATTACCAGCTTCTGGAGATGCAGCTGAGCTGTCTGTCATTGAAGGGCAAATTGCATGGATGGTCCACATAATTGCAGCTATTCTCAAGATTAGGCAGACTGTTGGTTGCAGGCGAGTAATTAATTTTGTTGCTGTTTGCCTTCTCTTTTTCTAATATATTCTTTTCACTAACAAGGTTCGCCATTTTCTTCTGCAGCCAAGATTCACAGGAGTTATTCGATGCAGAACTTGCGGCTCGTGTGTTACAGTTGATAAATATTACTGACACAGGGGTGCATGCACAGGTTAGGTGAAATTATCTCATCGCTTGACATGAATGATGAGCTAGTTTGCTTGCAGGAAGATTTTCCTTTTTTATGTGCTACCTGATATACGTAGATGCCTGCGAATGTAGTATTGGACTATTGGTAATGGTATTAGACATGTTCTTTCGGTTTTTGGAACAACATTATTTTTCAAGAACCTTCACAGTTTAACAGTGTTGACCTTTTACCCAACTATACCATAAATGTCCAACCACCTATTTCTCCATTCCCTTGTAAAATTGCAACTGCCCTGCTTCAAATGACTAATTTTGGAAGTGTTCAGTGCTCTTTACAGCAACCATATTTTTGTCCCAATGCTACCTGTTACATTCACTTTAGGCAAAATAAACTGAATTTGAGGGTATAGTGAAATGGTAGAAACAACAGCCCCCATAAACACTTGCTGTTTGACGTGCACCCTAATCCAGTGCCACTTGTGTTACTGAAATAGTCTACTTGTATGGGCTAGAGTCTGAGTAGACATTCAGTTAAGCCGAAAACTTGGTTTTGGTTTTTGTACTAATGTGCATAGTTGAAAGCAGCAACAGAAGCATCTAGTACTAGTTTTTTGTAAACAGAAACTTTGGTGACAATTCGGCTTGGGTTTTTGGTTAAAACACAATGCACATCAGATCACGTACAAAGAATTGCAGCCTGCAGTCTGAACTATGGACGTGTTTTTGGAGTTGTCTCACCCTAGTGAGATTTGCGACCCTCTGTCCCACCTACTGTAGCACGCGTTTTGCCCAGGGCATGATGACTTGGCCTCATCCCCTCTTCCTTGGCTCAACACTGGCAGTCTGTTGAGGTTTGCAAATTCATAGCGGGGAGCTGGGGAGTAGTGCACGGTTTGCTCCAGTAGGGAGCTTTGACTGAAACACCTTACCATGCTACATGGTAGGACACATCTTTGACTTGAAGTGGTCGAAACACCTTACCATGCTACATGGTAGGACACATCTTTGACTTGAAGTGGTCGAAACACCTTACCATGCTACATGGTAGGACACATCTTTGACTTGGAAGTGGTCAAACACATTATACACTCACCTGGAAACCCACAACCAAGAGATGCTCATCACACAAGGTATGCAATCAAGGGAGGAAGGCTAGGTTGGCAAAAATTGCTGGCCATATCAATGGCTGCCGTCGGCCTTGGCTCTCGCTGTGGCTGCGAGAGACAGAGGGAGAGGGAGAATATTCACAAGGAGTTGCTTGTGACATGGCAGCCTCTCCTTACGTTCTAGTGTTTGTTTGTTGAGGACTTGTGATTGGATCTAACTGCTGCTGATCTGGTGCATGTGCATGCATGATGAGGTTGGGGATTGTGGATGGCCATGGGCCCTGCTGTGATGCCCACAATCTGCCACGGGGCCATAGAGCTTGTTCCTTAATCCAAATAGTTTGCTTTGTAAGCCAATGTTCTGGTGGTTTAAAACCAATTTCACCAAAAATCATTTTTGGTTTTGTAAATTTGGTTCTGAGCAAAATCAGTTAATTCATCTTCAGTTTTGGTTTTGGCCCTATGGTTTTTACGCCCATTCCTTGGCTGGAGGTGAATTTGATGGATTGCGTTGTGAGAGTGAGGTTGATGTAGACAATATGGGCGAGAGGAGAAGACAAAGGCTAATTTGGTTCTGAGCAAAATCAGTTAATTCATCTTCAGTTTTGGTTTTGGCCCTATGGTTTTTACGCCCATCCTTGGCTGGAGGTGAATTTGATGGATTGCGTTGTGAGAGTGAGGTTGATGTAGACAATATGGGCGAGAGGAGAAGACAAAGACTAATTATGTAGTTGCTTGCTCCTCATTAACATTGCTCATTGAAGACAGAAGATTAATTATGTAGTTGGTTCATGAATACGTGGGCTACGCAAACTTGATCTCTTAACTTCCCTTCAAAGATCTCAGCCTCTAGCTGCCTTAAATAAAGTTTAACTTTCACAATTCAAAGGTATTTAGATAACTAGTAGATTTCCACCCCCTTTGGGTGGGTGGAGCTTGTACCAGCAGAGCTATTGCCCACAGTCCCACATGGCATCAACAAAGCATGGTTTGGGATGATTATTATGACATAAATGTTGGTTCCATATGCATATATCCTACTTAGATATTATCTCTTGATGACTCAAAATTCTTTTCCCCCGTAGGATAAATTGTACTCCCTCCGTTCCGAATTACTTGTCGCAGGTATGGATGTATCTAGATGCATTTTAGTTTTAGATACATCCATTTTCGCGACGAGTAATTTGGAACGGAGGGAGTATGTGATATTATCTCTTGCGTTTGCTGAACTTGCATGAGTTTGTTGTTGTTCTTTCATCCTTATATGGCATGCCATCAGATCAGGGCTTTACTTTGCTTACCAGTATTTATTTATAAGCGGCGCAAGCTTATTATGTGAAGTGTAACTCATTATCTTTTCTTTGCAGAGATATCAAGAAATAAGTAAGCAAAGGCTTGATCGAGCTATTCTTATCTTTGTTCAAAATTTCAGAAGGTCATATGTAGGGGACCAAGCCATGCATGCTTCAAAGGTTTAGAAACATGAAATTATATGACAGACTGATATTATTTGTACTGTATCTTGATATACCCTTCTGTCATATTATAAAGCATTGCTTCTTTGCTGCAGCAGTTGTATGCAAGATTGTCTGAACTTCTTGGACTGACTGACCATTTAGTTTTACTCAACGTCATTGTTGGGAAAATAGCTACAAATCTGAAATGCTATGCTGAGGTGACTATTCATTTACTGATTTCAGCTTTGACTTTGATCTATAAGGTGTTGCTAACCTTTGATGTGTATACAGTGCGAAGATGTTATTGATCATACTCTGTCACTGTTCCTGGAGCTTGCATCTGGGTAAACTTGTAGATTTATGTATTCAGTTTCATTTTCTCATGTTCAGCATCATGATTTTTATTTTCATCTTGTATTGCCATAGCAGCTATATGACTGGAAAGCTTCTTCTCAAGCTGGAGAGTACAAAGTTCATTATCGCAAATCATTCTGTAAGTGCTTCACACTACTTTCATTTGATAGATATCTGTGCTTCTCGGTCTTGGAAATGATTCTGTTTTTACTATTCATACTGCCAGCGGGAAAATTTTCCGTTTCTTGAAGAATACAGATGTGTCCGCAGTAGAACTAACTTCTACTACATCCTTGGCTGCTTGGTATTCATGGAGGATGGCCCAGTAAAATTCCGAAGTTTCATGGAGCCACTTCTGCAGGTGCATAGCTTGTTATTTTTGCGTTAGTATAGATTTTTTATCACATTTGTTATCTAATTTTATTCTTTGTTTTCACTATAGGTTGCAGTTAAATTGGAGGCAAGTGCTGATGCTGCTTTCCGGACTGATGTTGTAAAGTACGCATTTACTGGTTTGATGAGAGATCTACGAGGCATTGCTATGGCCACAAACAGGTGTATTCTCTGAACATACACAAGTGTCCCAATAGTTTGTAAAATTTGGAGACTAACTGCTCTTTTGTTGATCTAATTCAGCCGCAGGACTTACGGCCTCCTATTTGACTGGTTGTATCCGTCTCGCATGCCTCTTCTGTTGAGAGCCATCTCCCTGCTGACTGATGAACCAGAGGTTGTCAATGATCACTAATGTTACATTTTTTGGGACACTTCGCTTTTATTGGGCTTAACCTTGTTATCTAGAATCCACGGCTTATTAATCTTCTCCTTATTCATCATCACATGCAGGTCACCACACCCTTACTCAAGTTCATGTCTGAATTTGTTTTGAATAAGGCTCAACGATTGACATTTGATTCGTCATCACCAAATGGGATCCTTCTGTTCCGGGAGATTAGTAAGCTGATTGTGGCTTATGGTTCACGGATTTTATTACTTCCAAATGGCACTAATATTTATAGAAGTAAATACAAAGGCATATGGATTTCATTGACTGTTCTTTCAAGGGGTGAGTATGCGTATTGTGTTTTGAAACATATTCTTTTGTGACCGCTGGTTGCTTACGTTTTTGCCGATGTTAATTTCATTGTATATGATACAAATGCTCAAGGACTTATGTAGTAGAAGTATATTTGTTTCAACCACTTGAAAGAGATCCTTGTTTCAAGGGACTATTAAGGGCAAATTTTGTGAATTATACATTTTGGCTGGTTTCTGTGAAAGCCTTTTGGTTATAGGAGGCAACTTTATTCAGATTCTAGGAAATTTTACGGGGCCGTGTTTTTAACCTAAGCTCTATTTGCATTATTAGGGTTATAATAAGATAATAGTGCTGCCTAGTACTGTGTTTATACCGTTGTCACATAAAAATATTTGAATCGTTGTGGAATTGTAATCTCTTCTTGCCGATAATTTACTGTTCTTTTGACTGGCATTCACTTGAATTGTATGTGCAGCCCTATGTGGGAACTATGTCAATTTTGGTGTCTTCGAGCTTTATGGTGACAGAGCACTTGCGGATGCCCTTGATATATCTTTAAAGATGACCCTGTCAATTCCGTTGTCTGACATATTGACATTTAAAAAGGTATCGAGTTATTTATGCCATCTTTGGAATTTAGTTACAATTGTTTTTCCTATGTTATGTTTGTTAGCTATCTGAAAACATTTGTGGTAAGTTTTATAGCACCGAAGAAGTGAAGTTGTTGTCTCTTGTCACATAGAACGTGTATACTTGGCATATGCAACAGTTCGGTCATCAGAAACTGGACCAAAATTGTGGTGCCAATGCAGCTGAGTAAATCCTTTCTTAGTAAAGTAATCTCATGTATTTACATGGTTGGTGTGTTAAAATAATATGCTGTGGGTGCATATGCAACCATGGTTCACATACTGAACGGTCTATGGGAAAGTAGTGGTGTCCAGAATTTTTTCCATGAGGAATTTTTGTTATGTTCTATGACCTAAAGATTTAAAACAGTGTAATTCGTATTCCAACCTGTATTATTCTACATTTCAATCAAATATAATATACTCCCTCTTTTCTTTTTTTGTAAGACGTGTTGGACAGCTGACACTGAACTGTTTTGGGCGCTGTGTGAATTGTCTAAACGTCTTATAAAAGTGAACAGAGGGAGTATGTAAAAACAGGAGTCAGGATTGTAAGCCATATCCTTTCTTTGTACCTTGTTTTTTTTTTTGCTGTGCGTTGGTTATGATAGGTCGTGTCTAAATAGTAGTAGTATCTTTGTTTGTATTGTGGATCGTGTTTTTGTAGGTTAAACCATGGACTATATGCAAATACACTTTGTGGTCACTTAGGTGCATCTATTTTACATATCATTGCTGTTGATTTCTTTCAGCTTTCAAAAGCATACTATGGATATATGGAAGTTCTTTTCAACAACCATATCACTATCAATTCTGTCCTCAATTTGGACACAAGCACATTTGTGCATATTGTCACCTCGCTTGAATCTGGCTTGAAAGGATTAGATACAGGAATATCAACACAGGTATGTCACTATGAATCTCTTTACCACCTGGAAATGTTCCTGTAATGACAACATGACACTAGTAATGGATCAGTGCCTGAGCTATGGTTTTCTAAGGGATAACTTGCTTCACAACTTGTAACCACAACAAAGACTAATGAAGTTCTATTATCTACTATGTATATGCCTGAAGCTAGTTTATTACGTTTTGTTGCAAGAAAATCCTTCTATTACTTATGTATATGCCTGACACTATTGCTGTTTGGGTTATATGCATTCTATTTTTTTCTTTTGGCAGTGTGCTTCTGCCATTGATAGCTTGGCAGCTTTCTATTTTAACAATATAACAGCTGGTGATAATCCACCATCACCAGCTGCACTGAATCTTGCTCGACATATTGGGGAGCTCCCAAGTTTATTTCCTCAGGTTTGTGACGCTAATCTTTTGTACCATATTCGAAAAGGTTGCTTTGTAATGATACTAATAATATTTTTTCTGCAACAGATACTGAAGTCACTTTTTGAAATCATTATCTTCGAGGATGCGGGTAACCAGTGGAGTCTCAGTAGACCAATACTTAGTTTGATAATGATCAGTGAACAGGTGCCTTTCTTCTTATTGTTGTTGGTAACCATGTTCCTGTTCTCTCTTTCTCTTCCTAGTTCGTACTGTTTTCATGTAATTTTGATTTATTTTTCTGTTTTGGCGTGCAGATGTTTAGTGATCTGAGAGCGCAGATATTAGCGTCACAGGTTAGATTGCTCTTTTGCTCTAAGTTCCATTATACATTTTGTCCTTTCCCCTTCCTTTTCTTCATTTGTTGAACTTCATTTTGTCATCAGTGTTTAGGTCTATTTATCTCATGGCTAGGATATAATTTTCTTGAGTAAATATCAGAAAACAAGTCAAAAGTAAGCTTTTGTGAAATATTTTCTTGAAAGTGTAGCTCTGTCTATGATTTTGATGAAACAAATGTACCAGGAAAACTATATTTGAGATTTGTTATGACAATCATGTCGCATATCAAGTTTCGGTTGAATATTTGGTATTAATGATTTTCACTCTTATCAAATACTACCTCCGTTCCAAAATAGATGATTCAATATAAAGTTGAGTCATCTATTTTGGAACGGAGGGAGTAGATGGTACACATGGGCACATACATCTGACGTAATTCAGGAGGGCTAGGTTTCTTGTTCCAGGTGTTCTTCTTAGGTGGTATTAATTTTTAGGTTTGCACCAGAAACTGTGAATATGCAGATACCATCAAAGCTTTCAACAATGTTTGCTTGATATTCACATTGCAGAATAAGTAACTTCTTAAAAAGTGATCCTTATACATTTCAGCGACAGTTAATTCCGGACGGAGGGAGTGTGCTAGAGGCTGCAACTAGTCTAGTTTGAAGTTACCTTGTGATATCTTGATTTCACATGTAGTAAAGCATATCAAGTTGGTGTCGGTGAGGAAATATCATACATATTTCTAACTGAACTATCTTTTGATAACATCTTAATTGTATATAGTACTGGAATATTCTATTTCAAGTACTCGCTTAGAGTTGTACTAAGTGTGTGACAATTAATATGGATCGGAGGAAGTAGCACATGTGAAATAAAAAATATACTGGGCCTCCCTGTCAGAAATAACATACTGGGTGAACTATTGTTTGTTTCCTTAAACAGGATATCTTCTGCAGTTTGAACTGTGTCATCTCACTAGAGTTATGCTATGATAGTTACACTGATCCTTCCAGTTTTCTTTCTTGTGTTACTGTAATTAACAGAGGGGTTTTTATTGATCTAAGAGCTAACACATCTGTTGTCTGCAGCCTATAGATCAGCAACAACGCCTCTCACAGTGTTTCGATAAGCTCATGACTGATGTCACAAGGAGCTTGGAACCAAAGAACAGAGACAGATTCACTCAAAATCTCACAACATTCAGACATGATTTCCGAGCAAAGTGACAGTCGTTCAGAATTACCTGCAAGTTTGAAGGAGGCGCTTCTGCATTGCTGTAAATACCAACTTGTTTGCCTCATAGGAATCACCATTCGTTGGAAAAAAAATACTTTTAGTTTGCATTGGCTGAAAGATATAGGGCTCTGCCGCTCCATGCTGTGGTGAAAAGCAGTTATAAGTCTCTTAGCTTGTTGTCCGTATCAGAATGGTGAATGGTGGGGATTGACTTGTTTTACCTCCTTATCCCTTTGCTTGTACAGCAACATTCATCGTGATTGCTGTTTCCCCAAGTTGTTAGGGGGACAACAGCCATCACTTACCTAATTCATTGGTTTAAAAGTTAGAATGGAAATGATGTAAATGGCCATGTTGGCTTGCTAAAATGTGGAATTGGTAGTCTGGGAGGGAGGGGAAAATCTTGCCCCATGTACATCAATACCGTCTTTTAACATCTTTTGTACAGTATCAATCTGTCGCCATATATTGTTTGTTGTCTCTGTCGGGTTTTGTGCAGGTGATGGGGGTGGCCGCCAATTTATTCAGTGGGTGCTTTGCAGAGTTCTATTTCAAGTGCTTGGAAGTACCAAGGAGCTGCAGCCGGCTGGCCTACGGAGTCCTGCTTGACCACGACTCATACCTATTGTTTGGTTTATGGTATTCGACATAGTAATTGTTTTGATCAACACCAGCCTTTATTGCCCGTCCATTACATCTGTGTATGCTTCTTACTCTTCTGCAGTTTGTTGCATTGAAATCAGGCCACTGTGAATAGGGATGCCTAGCTCTTGCGAAGATTAGGAGAAGCGAAGAAACACCCAGAAATAAGTGCACAAAGTTGCGAGAAGAATTTTGGATGCCATGGAGCCAATTGTATCAATGTTTCCAAACGAACCTTGCATTGTATGGTAACTTGGTCAAATGTCATATCTGCAAGTATTAAAAATGATTTTGTAGAAAGCAACAATAAGAAAATTAGGAGCAAGCACAATACGGAAGGTATCAAAATAAGTGCAGTTTGTCTAAAATCTTCGAATCCTTGCGGTCGCCATCTTCCTATGAGGTGGGATGTTGTCCTTGTGCGTCGCCTTTCCCTCCCAGCGTGGCAATCCCACATGCAATGGGGAATTGGGGATCGTGGTGTACCTAAAGGACGGGCAGGGGCAGGTTATGGGTGCCTCATGGGGAAGGTGTTGGAGGCAACATCAAGCCATCCACATAGATAAATTTAAATGAAGCTATTGTTGTATGCCACTATCACCCAATGGAAGCTACTCTATGTGATGTCATCATCTTACTTTTTCTTTCTCATCTCCTTTCCAACACATGAAACCTCCACTACATTTAAACAATACCAACATCCATTTGAATCAACGATATCAACAAGGGAAACGATTCAGATCACCCGACGGATAATCACGCTCGCGTTCGCCGCCTCGGTTGCGTGCCACGCGTCCATTCTGGACCCCACTACCACATTATTTGCAATAGTCACACCTCGCCTTGTACCTTATCCTCTTCTCCCAAATCTCCTTCCTCGTGAATCAACGCTGCCAAGCGAAGCAGTTCCCCGTGCCACTCACATCTCTCTTTCCATGGGCGCGAATCTGGCTCGAGCTCGCCGGGAAAGTAGGCGGAGGACTCAATTGCCGCTGGCATGGTTCCTGTGAA